TATGGAAAAAGTAAGCGACATAAATCGTACTCAGCTTTGTCGGTTTTTTTTTTGTTTTTTTTTTGTTTTTTAAACTAACGAGGGGTAACTTCTTATATGGAGCCCATTTCTCCTGGCAAGTGCAAGTGATCGAGTGCTTCGAAATACGTCAGTTTTTATCTACTATCAATTGGAACAAATTTTATATTTCATCCCCTCGAAACTCCGCCATCCCCATAGGCCTTAAGGGATTGCTTCCAAAATTTGGCACCAGATTGACCAGACTACCGAACAAACCTTGGTCATGAAACGTTCTGAATTTACAGCAAGCCATCTATTAGAAGATGAAAGTTTGAATCTTGTTCTTAGTCCTCCAATACAACGTCTTGATGATGGACGCCTTGAATTTTACCAATATTTTCTCTACTGTTTTTCAAATTTTAACACAACAGGTGTTTGCTGGTTCAAAAATGCCCGTGCAGCTGCGCCACTTGCAACTGCTGTGACACTTGGAATACCCGGGACACTTGGGGTATGTAGGACAGCTGGGACAGTTCTTGGACACTTGAAGGTGATGGTTCATTGGAATGGACCTCGCCCTCTCGCAAATTGGCTTCCGTTGTCCCTGATAACCGAAGGTCAGATCGCGTGGAATCGGAGCGCAAAACTGTCTAATATCCCATGTTGTACAACAACAAACATTGTTGTTCGATTTATCATCTACGGGTTTATATCGAATTAATTTGATGGCCTGCTCCCAGTTGGCTTGTTAGCTCAATTGGTAGAGCGCTGCACTAGTATCGCAGAGGTCAGTGGTTCGAATCCCGTACAGGCCTGAAATTTTTTTCAGGTCTGATTTCCACTATTGCTAAAATAGTGCTTTACTGCGAAGGATCGTTCTTATATACATCCCATGTTGTGTTACTGAGAGGAGCGAGAAGGCTGAACTCCAAAAAAGGGTAACGCGGTATCTATTATAAATTGATCCAAGGTACAAGAACTTCAGCTCTTATCCTTTCATTTGCCCTGTATGACATAAGAAGGGAGAAAAGCTGGCTATATTTTAAAAATCCCTTTTGCACTATTCTCGAGCCGAAGTCGACTACTTTGCTAACAAGGAGCCGAAAAGATCCTGGGCTCGAGATTGATTTTTTTCAAATTAGTCTTCTTTCTTGGTCTTTGCTCATAAGGCCTTCTCCTCTTCAGACACTGATAAAACAGAATCTCAACCTACCACTCACTGCAGCCCCAGAAGGTACCACTGCTCATCAAAAGAAATGATACCTTTTTCAAGTGCATGATTTGATGCATTTACAGACAAGCCTGTATTAAACGCACCGTTTCAGCGATCACCCTGTATCAAGCCGTCATTTGCCAAAGTCCCAGATTTGTTTCCGCTTAATCACTGTAATCTTCACCTCTATGAAGCACTCACCTCCCAAAGGCCTTTTTTATTGTCCTCCACCTGTATTGAACGGTCACTAAGTAAAGTAGAACCGCTCAAATAGAAATAAGCATAATGTTTTATACTGGGGTTTCTCTAAAGATCATCTGACCCTCGTTTTAGAACGTCAGTTAAGCGCTCTCTGTATCTGAGCCTGGTGCGATCTTGCCTCACTTGGCTATGCTAGTGAAGTGTGGACGCCTCTGCACATAGGTGGTTTACGCACAATTGAGGAAGTTCAACGTCGAGCAATAAAGTATATCTTAGGGTATCCAGACGTCCTAATTCCTTACAAGGAAAGACTTATTAAACTGAACCTCTTGCCAGTATCTTGCTAACATGAAATCAGGGATTTACTATTTTTCATTTAAGGCCATTAATGGCTTGTATAACATTGATATTACAGAGTTTGTCCAACCTAAAGTCAAAACCAGATCCACTCGTCAAAGCTGCTCTTTAGACTAGCAGCCTTTAAAATGCAGAACATTACTTTTTCAACGTAGATAATAATAAATAATAATAACAATCTTTTATTAGGAAGCTCCATCACAATAATGGTTTACATAGAGGTCCTAAATACTAGATGTGTATTATATAAAAATACAATTAAAATATAAAAATTGGAACTAAAATCGAAATATAAAAATGATTACAACATATACACTGCAAAGATTAATTAAAAAATACTTAATTATAAAAAGCAGAAAAGAGACACTTTTTAAAAATTGGCAAACTTACTGAGTTTCTTATAGTTCTCTCTAACTCATTAAAGTCTTTGAAACAGTGATACCGCGAACGATGTTTTCCCCAATTGTATTTGATTTTGGGGAGCTTTATAGTATCGTTATTGTGCGTATTGTAGGAGTGCATATCACTCTTTCTTACAACGTCCAAAGAATGATTAATTCCCCCATTAATACACTTGTATGCCTACATCGATGACATTTCCTACGTTCTTCAAGATTCAGCCATCTCAAGACTGTTAATGCATCAGCGGATGAGGAGTGAAGTGATCTATCTAATACCAACTTAGCTGCTTTGTTTTGCAGAATTTACAATTCCTTCATTAGTGTGACATTGTCCTTGTCACCCCAGACTAAATCAGCATAATCAAAAATAGGTAGCCCTAAGCTATTATAAAAAAGTAACCGGGCATTATAAGGTAAATATTACTTAATCCTACGTAAAAGACCAAGGTTCTTATTAACCTTACATGAAATATACTCAACATGGTCGGACCATGTAAAAGTTGAGGACAACATCACTCCCAAATATTTAAAACTAGTTACAGAATTTATATTAGTGTCAAAAATAGATAATGAGAAAGAGGAAATACCAACAAGTTTCCTATTACTACTTATAATCATGGATCTTGTCTTAGTAAGATTCAAAGTTAGCTTATTTCCATGTAGCCACTGGGCAACTTGCAAGAGATCATCATTCAATGCTTCTTCCAACACGTGTGGTTCCTTAGCAAAGTAGTACAGGACCGTGTCATCAGCATACAAAGTCACCTTGCAATTCTTTATAGCCAGAGGAAGGTCATTAATAGAAATCAAGAAGAGAAGCGGTCCTAGAAGACTCCCCTGTGGCACCCCAAAGGTCATCGAGAGAGGGTCAGACATAGCATCACTACAAGTAGTCCGCTGTTTACGATGACTCAGGTAGGACTTGAACCACTGTAGCGTGCTGGGCGAGACACCGATAGCCGACAATTTAGATAATTATAACAAGATCTTATGGTCAACGGTATCGAATGCCTTGGTCAAATCTAAGAACACTGCACCGCACACTCTCCATATGCAATAGGACCTCATCTGCAAAACTGATGAGAGCTGATGTTGTAGACAGTTTGGAACGGAAGCCAAATTGTTTGTTTGAAATGAGGTTATTTGAATTTAGAAAGTCATAGAATTGGAAGTGGACGACTTTTTCCAGTATTTTACTCATCGTTGGCAGAATAGAAATTGGGCGATAATTTGACGCATCTATCCTATCTCCAGTTTTGAAAAGTGCAGCCACTTTCGAGCATTTCCATATTTCAGGAAAATTGCCAGTGCGAATAGAGAGATTCAGAACTTGGTGATCGAGGGACAAATAGCACGCGCGCCACACTTTAAGAGTCTCGCACTGATGTTGTCCAAGCCAATAGCTTTATTTGTCTTCAGAGAAAGCAGATGCTTGAGTACTGTTTCCTCATCAACTTCGTAAAGTGAGAAATACTGTAGTTTCGTGACCGATCTGACTGGGAACATAACAGCAGCTGATATTCTATTTGCAAGACTTCTGCCAATGGAAGCGAAATAATAGTTGAGCAAGGATGCAATAGAGGCTAGAGTGGTGTGTTCAACACCATCAACTAAGATACATTGTGGGCTCGACTGAGGATTTAGTCTTGCAAGAAGACACCTCATTCACCACCTTCCAGATCTTCCCTGAATCCCCTTTTGCCTCTAGAATCAAGTCACAATAATACCTGGATTTTGCTGCCTTGAGTTCGCGATTGACCCTATTTCTTAGCTTCCTACAGCAAGCCCGGTGAAAAAAAGAATTGGTTTTCAGACCTTTACGATGGTGAAAATCACGATCCTTCATCACCTCGCTAATTTTTTCATTCAACCACGGGAGCTGAACACCTCGTATTTTTCGCCTCTTTACAGGCGCATGCAGGTCAGCTATTTCAGAAAACAATTGATTCCAAATAAACACAGCGTCGTCGATGTCTTCCTCGTTTTCAGTAACATGCCATGGGAAGCTATTCAATAGATATTTCCAATAGAACTGTTAAATTATGGAATTCCTTGTCTTCGTCAATAAGAACCCTACCTAGCGTTAATGCTTTCAAAGCAGCTTTAATTAAATATTTTGATAAGAAAGCACTCATTGAAACGTTTGATCAGGATAATGTTTATACTTGGAAATCATTGTGTCCTAAGTGCTATTCCAGTACGAATTTAAGCAGTTTTCGTCAGGTGTTGTTTTTAGTAGATATTAATGATCATTAGTCTTTAAATAAGAATTGATATATATCTTTTACACGTAAATTCTTATATTATGTACATATCCTTTGATATTTTAGTGAATTATCTATTTTATTCGTATTTTACTTAAATTCTCCCTTGCCACTATTTTTATGGGCTTTCACCTAGTTGAAGCTCGCTCTATCGTGACTGTCCCTCATTGGGTTTTTCTCTCCACTATTGTTATTTTTCGGTTTTTCTTTTTTCTTCTTCTTCTCTTACCAATTTACATCAAATATCATCTAACTATTATTTATCATATTTATCATATTTATACGTTATGTCCTCAATGAAAGTCGAATAAATAAATAAAGTACAACTTCTCATTTATCCCCCGAGATCGACGTTAATTGCATTTAGAGTGAGTTTTTGTACATCAAGTTCTCAATTATGGCATAAAATGTCAATTTCGTCGTTTTTGAAAGTACCTCTATTCTGTGGAACTTGTGAGTAAGTGCCGTTTCTCGTGGGTGACCCCTTACTTGGGATAAGGGTAGATTGCGTGACTCCATCCGAGTGCCGTCGCATATGCCGAAGATTTCCGATACTTTCCGTCATTGGTCGTTCCTCTTCGGTCGTCTCTGATTACAGAAAGAAGAACAACGCTTGAATGGTTTGTTCATATTCCTGATCCTGAATTTGTTTTTCTTGGCGAAATATGGGTGATCAACACAAGTATTTGAAGAAACGAAAGAAGAAAGAAGTAAGTTAATTTTAGGTCATCTTTTGTTCATTTCTAGAACGATATATGGTTAAAGAAACGAAATTTTGTGATCCTTAGCCCGGCGATTGTGTGCGTTCCACGTTTGTTCCATATCGTAAGTCCCATACGTTTGGCAGAATTTTGCCGAAGGAAGAGAAGTATTTGACTTAGAATAACTCAATGTGTTCAATCCTTACTAATTTAGGTGCGAGGTGACCCGGAAGAACCCACTAAAGAAGAAAACGAAGTAGGAAAATATCTGAGATGGAACTGTCCTTCAAAGCCGTCAACGTTGATGGGTGAAAAAGTTGAATATTTCATCGGTAGGGAACGCTTTTTTTGAAACTTCATTGTTCTCCCTAATAGCAGTTATTGCTATTCAAGTATATGAGGCAATTCTATTGATTTATTTCACAGAACCACAGGCTTTTGGCTCTCCTCTTGTCTAGACTTACGTAAGCGTATTTTACAGCGAACTACAAAATGAGAAGTTTCAAGTTCGGTGAATTTACTCGTTACTTAACGTTTTAAAGAACGCATGTTTCCCCATGAAATTCAAATAATTGAAACCATTTCTATTGCGGTATAGTATATAAGGGTTCAAGTTTTTGTCGGAGTTGTCGAGAAGTGAGCGAGCGACCATAATCATAAACGAAATAATTTATCGTTGATCTTGGGCAACTTCGTGTTTGCCTCCGTCTCGATCTTCGATGAGTGGTAAAAAATTGGTTAGATGCCACGAAGTAAGTGGCAAAGCCTTAACCATGTGTTGTAGGTTGAAAGTCCGAAGACTTTTCTCGTCCTTATCGAGGGAGATGCTAACCTTCTCTCGGCTCATACAACACGACTTGCTAATGATACTCCCTGGCTTTTATTATGCTTTGTACTACAAATCTCCTCTTTGTGGTACATCTTTTGTTTGAATATTTAATTATCCCTTTTTGGCCGTACGTACTTATTGGGAACTCTGTTATTTAGTACTCTTTAAAGCTTTCTGAATGTACCATTATTTTTATTCCTAATTCCCAATTTGTATTATAACCAATTAATTTAGTTCTCACCTTTTATTACTAATAAGGTCTTTCTGAGAGTTGCAATGTTTTTTTTTTGTTCTCAGTTTTTTGGGATCAATGATATTACTCACGAAAATTCTTTCCTTAAGTTTCAAGCCTTATCCTATCATGAAAAATTCAAACTTTCAAAAATTGTTTTTGTTTTTTGCAGTTTTTGTGGATGAATGAAACTTTTTATTGTTTGTCTCCCGATGTAGAGTCAGGCTATCACAATGTTTCGAATACTGCTAGTCTATTTAAGGTGACTTGGTCAAAAGGCTGCATTTTGCTAGTTATTGCACCTTGGTTTGTTGTGATTAGTTTGTTTTGGCATGCACTTCCTGTTTGGAACCAGTTTAGTTATTGACCATGACCATCAGAGGCCATCCACGTAAGACTTCATTCTAATAACATCAATAGAAATAGTAAGGAAATAAAAAAAATTCCCTGGAGTGGATGCTTGGCACAACAGCTTGTCAGTAACAAAGCAAACCTATGAAGGAACAACAACTAATTGTTGGAATAATAATAAGAATTGGAATGCCCTAAGATAGTGTGCAAAACACGTGAACTTTGATCTCAAGACCTGATGAAGACTACTAGTATGGTAAAACCATGGTATTAGAACCAAAGTTCTTCAAGTTAACCTCTACAGGTTCTTATATAAATGTTGCTTACTGTGAATTTAGGCTGCTAGGTTCTTAATTTGGTTCTTAATTTTTGTTCAAAACAATGATGTATCATTGGCCACCACTACATTGAATCATTTTTGCATTTTTTTTTTTAATTACACAGTTAGAGAACAGAATTCCCAGGTGAATTATGTATGTGCCTCCAATTAATATCAGCAGTAATCTAAGTTTTGTATACAGAGTTAACTGGAACACAAAATCATAACCATAAAGTCAATAAAGGTTTGTCCTTCAATTTATGTTTTTAGTGAAAAGTAACAAATAACCATCTTTTACAAAAGTATGTTCTCAGTTATAATGCAATAAAACTAACAGTGTTCATTGCTATTTTTTGTTGCCTTTTTTGTATTGCATGTGTTCTAAGAACCTGTTTAGATTTTATTGGTTCTATGTAAAGGGGGCTTAATTAGGAAATTTTAGGCTAATAGTTTCTTAAAGGGATCCTCCAGTGTTTTTGAAAATATCACTTAAAATGCTCTTTAAGTGTCCAAAAGTAGATTTTTCAGACAGAAAAATGCTCTCTCCCCTTAGATTTTTTGTTTTGGCCTCTCAAAAGAGGCCTTCATGACCAGTTAGAACGTCCCATGGTCACCATTTTGATTGGCACGCAAGGCTCTCTGGGGTGATGACGTAAAATGGTTGCTCAATCCCCTTGCCCTCGGTAAAATTGGTAGCAAAATGCTGCATTGCGTTGCTTTTGAGTGTAGTATTCAAGCTAAAAACAGGAAAGGGGTAAGACTCTTCAAAGCAATGCTGTTCAAAGTGCTTCGAACACAGACGCGAGTCTTTGGGCAAGGATGTCCTTCCAACAGCATGAATCCAAGCTCATCGAATCGCTGCATCATTTGGAAAATCGTGGAAACGAATTTTGGGATCGTTTTTCCTGTTTTTAGCTTGAATACTACACTCAAAAGCAATGCAATGCAGCATTTTGCTACCAATTTTACCGAGGGCAAGGGGATCAAGCAACCATTTTGTGTCATCACCCCAGAGAGCTTTGCGCGCCGATCAAAATGGCGACTGCGGGACGTTCAAACTGGTCATGAAGGCCTCTTTTGAGAGGCCAAAACAAAAAATCTAAGGGGAGAGAACATTTTTCTGTCCGAAAAATCTACTTTTGGACACTTAAAGAGCATTTTAAGCTATATTTTCGAAAACAGTGGAGGATCCCTTGAAATGGTGGGTGCACTTGTTTTTACTGTATCTCACTTTAAACATTGGAATCAGTACATTTGATAGCCTGACTCTACATCATGAGACAAATGCTTAAATGTGTGATTTCTTTTTGGGAAAAAACAATTTTCAAAGGTGAATTGCAATGGAAGAAATCACACTAAAGAAGCCTCACAAAATTCAAACCTGTGCCTACCAGATATTATTTAACACTAATACTATCTGAGCTACCAAGCCACATGTCAGGAGTAAAGAAAATGTGGCTATGACCATATTCCTTTACAGGAAGGAAGAACCTGTAAAAGCCAGCTTTAGAAAGTCTCTACATATGCCAATTTACATTTATCAACTCAGTAGATAAAACCAAATTATCTGGTAATACCCCCTACTGATGCTTTTGAAACTAACCCCTTTATTTTTTATGTCAAACATAGTTGAACATGGAGTGTTCAAAAGAATTCAATAGGATTAAGAGCCTTGGTTTTCTTTTCATACTCTTAGGATCTAAGGCCATAGATTGTCTGATGGATTCCAAGTGGGCATCTGGTACAGGAGGAACTGAGATATTGTTTACAGACCGTGTATCTGTGGAGATGTATCTGGATAGGTATGCCACCTTAAAACATGACACATTGCTTATTTATTGCATTTTTCTTCTGTTTTTACTCCCAGTTGGATCATTTTATGAATAAAAGAGGAGTCATTGAACTCCCAACCATTAAACTCCCATGAATGTCCAAGACAGAATTTCACTTTACCATGAATATACTATCAAGCAGACAAGGGATGAGAATAGAGAAATATATCCATTAGGGAATTATTAGTTGATCCAAGGGCAAATTCTCCCAACTAACGTGATAAGAATTGTATGACAGAGAGTAACGAGAGTTACCAATAAGATCATGGGAGAGAGAGGGTTGACCAAACCAACAATTCCTGAATTAGGATCAATTAATTTAAAACATGTAAGGCATGGGCATGGGTAATTCCATGCACTGGGAGATTTACATTTGTAGGAAGCTGCAAGTAAAATGGAAATGTCTTAAGTTCTACAGGTAAGGTAAAGTCTGTTTACGAGCCTAGTGGCCCATTAGGCTGGTGCTTAACTCTGGTTTCTGTAGCATGAAGCGACTAGGAGTATTTCTACTCCCCCCTGGATGGGATGCCAGTCCATCGCAGGGTTACCTCCAGCATTAAATTGCCGGTACCCATTTATACACCTGGGTGAAGAGAGGCACTGTGAGAGTAAAGTGTCTTGCCTAAGAACACAACACAATGTCCCGGCTGGGGACACGAACCCAGACCACTCGATCCAGAGTCGAGCGCACTAACCATGAGGCCACCGCACCTCCACTAAGTCCTACAGGGCTGCATTTTTATTCTTTAACCCTGAGAGTAACCAGCATCTAATTTCTCCTTTACTATGTCACCCCTGAATTGTATGTTATGGTCATGAGAATAAAGGAAATAATCACCAACTTAAGAAGTCTTAATTGTTGAGCAAATTCTCCTCGTCAGCACCTCAGAAAATGTATTGAGACCAGTATGTAGAATATGCAGACTGGTGTATTTTATTTTTTTATTATTTTATTTTTATTTTTATTTAATTATTCACCCAAAGGTGGGTGTAAATACAATAGGACTCTTAAGTCCCCTCCAAGATATTTACACCCTAAATGTAGGGGTGTAGGAGTGTTCAGGGCTAACAAATGATTCTCACTGGCATTAGCTCCTAGGCTTAAATCGAGGTTTATGTTGAAAAATATGTCACTGTTTTTCTAGGTTGTTGATGTTGGGATTCTTTAATCGTGTCTTTCGACATAAGAAAGTGAAGAAAACGAAAGAAGAAAAAGAAAAAGAAAAGGCAGAAAAAGAGAAGGAAAAGGAAAAGGAAAACGAGAAAGGGAGTGCAAAGGAGAAAGATGAATCAGAAGGCAAAAGATCAAAGAAGAGACTTAAAAAAGAACACTCAGAAGAAGGAAAAAAGGTAAGTATTTTTTTGGCAAAATTACTACCTCTACTTTGCATGATTAAACAAAGTCAGCCATCAGCAATACTTCCTAATTTGCCTCAGTATGAGATTTAAAAAGTTCTGTAAAAGTAAGGTGGAGTTAGGTTATGAGGGTAGTGGCACACTTGACCAGAGAATTATCTACAGTTTCCAAAGCATAAAGCAACTATGAGTATTGGCTTTGCCCTAGGTTAGCCCCCAGTATTTCATGAGGTTTCCCTGAAAGTTTGTTGGTTCCCACTGATGCCCCCTGGGTAGAGAGCTTTGCTATGAGAGTAAAGTGTCTTGCCCAGGAACACAATGCAACATCCTGGCCGGGGCATGTGGCTGGATCTCTCTAGCAAGAGTCTAGCGCTCAAAGCTTCAAGCCACTGCATCTCCTCTATTGAATAAAATATTGTAGGTTGTATACCCTGTTTAGTTGACAGCATTTATTTGTGTATGTAACAGGAGTACATGCTGTCCAATTCAGAAATAAGTGGATGAAAAAATTCTCAGGACAGGCAAAATTGGACAAGGCCATAGGCCAAGTCCAATTTTGGCTGTCAGAGGAATTTTTTAAATTAAATTATTTCCAAAATTGGACATGCATGTAGTCTTGTTACTTATTAATTATATAGCTAGTCAGTTGTAATTGGGTTTTATGCAGTCAAGCTATTATTCTTTAATTTTAATAATTAACTGTCCAATTAAGGATTAATTTGGATAGTTTGGAACTTTCTAAATTAATCCTTAATTGGACAGTTCTAAAAAATTAAAGAATAATAGCCATGCTGACAACATCAGACTACTGGTAACTACCAGCTATACAATTAGATGGTCTTAGACATGATATTTAGAGGCCACAAGTAAAAGTAGATGCAAAAGTTTTTTTTCTTATCAAAATAATATTCTCTGAGGTAAATTTGTTTAGATAGTCTCGGTTGTCAAATGCCTTTTGGATCTGTTTCACTGAGACTTTTTTAGTCTTTCTGGAAATATGCATTTATTTTAACAATTATTACTTAAAATGAATAATCAAGTCCTTTTGTGGCAGATTAATTGCTCATAATTTGTACTAATGCCCTGATCACAACTTATGAATGCAGTCTGAATTAGCACCAAAAGCCTGTGTAATAGTAATGAATATTTGAATTGGGGATGGAATTGGTTGTGGAAAGGGTTTCAAAAAATGTTGAAATTCAAGCTGGGTTCTTTAAATTTCCTGGTTAATGCAGAGGTGGTCAAGGTTCGACTATCTCTGGTTCAATGTTTAGTGCAGTCATGATTCAGTAGCAAAAAGTTACACACAGTACATAAGTATCTATTTCAAACATTTTCACCACAACATTGAGTAACTTGATCATTCAGCAATTTTTCCCATCAAAATCTTCACAAAATTGAACTGATTCACACTATGTATGTGTTACACTTTGTATGGTTGTGTGATAATGACACCAAACCCTATGGTGGCTATCTTATTTACAATCTCTAACCAAATCCATTAACCAATGCTGTTTTTAATCATATTTAAGGATGATGATACTACTGAAGAAAGAAAACCAAAAGTATGATGTTTGCTGTTGTTCAGTTTTAAATTAAAAAGACTCTAACCTTTTGTTGCATTTTTGCTTATGTTCAGATGAACTTACTATAACCCTAACCTGTCCTGTCACACTATGATATAAGACGAGTTTGAAGGGTTAATTATAAACTCCTTAACCCCTGGCTTCTAATTTCTCCATACAGTGTCATCTCTGAATTAAATATAAAGGTTATGGCATGAAAGGAAATCATCACTGATTTAAGAAGCTTCCGATTGTCAAACAGATTCTTCTCGTCATCACCACAGGAAACGTAGAGAGAATAGTGTGGGAAACTGATATGAATGCTAATGTTATGGTGTAAAGGGTCAATGTAGTCTTCTTTTCTTTGCTGAATGATTTAGGCAACAGAGGGAAATGCAGATGGTGATGGGAAAAAGAAGAGAAAGGTTGGTACTTAATGGATGGATGTGATAACGTAACTCACTGGCTTTTCTACAAACGCCCCTCGAGCCTGGTTTTCGTTCACAGTCTGTGCGCAAGAGCGAAAAAGCGAAGGACGGAGGGAAAAGATGTGTAGAGGAACTAAGGGCATCCATGTCACGCTAGAACCTTACTAAATCTCATACAACCATTTCATGCTTCCCACTCACCCCTCCCTGTCATCATTCGACTCACTTGTATCTCCTATAAAACTTTCTGAGGTACTAAGTCATTTTGTACCGTCAACATGCGGGTTACATTTTAGACATGACTCGACATCGCAGTAATGACGCCAGTTTTCCCTTTCGTGGTAGTTTTCTGCACCACCAAACAAGTCAAATGCATTAGTGATTTCATTAGGGAATTAGTAATTCTTTTTATGGACTAACCAAGTAATGAATCAATCGAAACCTACCCCCGCTTTGTTCGTTTCTGTTTTTCCGCGTTCGAACATTGTAGCTGTACATAGATTTGAGATCCTTTGGAAATCATTCGAGCTTCTCAAAACTCGATTCTTGGAAGTCTCGATACAGCTAAGTTTTTTTGAAAAATATGAACAGTTTTTTGGTAGGGGCATGTCACACAAGTCTCTTTATCTTGACGATCGGACTTAGCTTCTTGCAACCAAAATACTATGAACGTTTTAGACACTAAAAGGTAGCAGCTCTAACAAGCAGAGGGAATTCCTAAAATTTCTAAAGTACGAGGATGTTTACAGCAGTAAGATCTACAGCAGTTTTATTTTCATAAGGTCGTAGTAGTAGCAAGTATGATAAATATTGTAAGAAATAGACAACTTTTTTGAGAGACATGTTTCGGCATGTTTATGCCATCTACAATCAATGAGTAACAGAACGTGAGTAATTATATAACAGACAAGTAGATGAACAAAATATTTACAATATATATATCTTACAATATATATATCTTACAATATATATATCTTATTAACCAAGCGCGAGGGCCGTACTGGGAGAATATCGGCACGAGGTCTTGACAGAATAAGAGAGTTATTATACGACTGAAGTTCAAAGGGACACAGGTGCGGTATCATTCGGGACCATTTGGGATAGTGCCCGTTCCAATACTTAGAGAATATTGGACCGGCAATAGAGCATTTTGATTGGTTGATTGATTGATTGACACGACTGCCCGAGTCGTGTAATAAGATGTAATACAAAGCGGGTACTAATTACAACGTGACACCAAACATCAAAGGTGTGAACTAAAACGCTAGAAAAGTGTTATAATGCTGTAATTGTTTGTTTTTTTAAGGTGAAAGTTAAACTGGAGCTACATGAGGATCAGATATTTGTTGACGATGATGACGAGGTTAGGAAGCTTGTTAAATATTAAAATCACAATTACGTTTTGTAAAATGTAACCAAATATTATGGGATATGGCCTTGTACCTTGCAAAGATATCGTTGCCCATGGGACTAGATTTTTTGTGGGGTTTATTAATCGTACATTGTTTATCTGGCATCTTGCTTTTAAGTCTTCGTGTCTACCTGAAATTTGTCTTAGTCATCTCCTTTCTTTGCTTATCCTTCCGTTACATACCTTTCTCAGGCATATGTGTGGAGATTTGATCCGCTTCATCCTAAGACCTTAATCTTGGGAATTTTGGTTGGTAAGTATGCGAGTCAGGTTAACAGTTGTTAATTTTGTGTCTCTGTGCATTTTAAGCCAAAGAATGCCAGCCCCGAATTCAGTCGGTGATTCAGTCATACAGTCGTCGGTCCGTCAGTCAGTCAACTAGAGGTCAGAATGAGTCCGTAAAAGCATTTTAAAGATTGTTTGCAAGCTCTAATCCTCGTGCGCGATTTAGATGGACAGCGGTTTCCTATATTGGCGTACGCGAAGGCGAGGCTATCGGGTCAAGCCTCCCTGAAGATTACTCAAAGAAATATTTGAAATGTTACGACGTTGTATACGTTTAGGTATTACATCATGGTTAGACACTGCATAGCCTTTGGTTGTACGAGCCCGACTTCGAAAGAAGATTGTTGCAGCCATACATGGCATTCGTTGCCGCTATCAAACAAGCTTATTTCCTTTTTTACTTTTGGTTAATGCGCAGATTATAGGAGAAAGAAAGGAAGTTAAAGGCAGTCTGTTTCTGCTACCTTAAAAGGCCATTTTTTTTTTTTATTCAAACAACCGACAAGTGTCGAAGTTGTTTTCAATTCAGTCAGTCAGTCAGTCAGTCAGTCAGCTGTATTCGACAACAAGGGGAACAAGATCCATGTAATTTTGCCATACGTCTGTTCGGTAATAGATCACAAATGACATCAAAAGGTTGTTAGATTAAGTAGTGGCACGCTAGCTTTCACAAAGCTTTCTTTTGACTGTCGTCTTTCTCTGATTTGTTTACCAGTGATTGGTACCATTGCTATCTGCCTGTTCCCTTTGTGGCCCAGTAAGATCCGAGAGTATGTTTGGTATCTGAGTGTGTTGGCTTCAATTGCTGTCGGCTCCATTTTGGTTCTTGCGCTTTGTAAGTTGTTTTTATTTTAAGTAGCGATTTCAATTTTTTTTATTTTGTGGAGTTTTTTATTTCTTTATTTTCTTCTGATATGGTGTTATATTATAATGAAAGCCCAAAATCAAAATGTGTGTCCTTGGGCGACCAGTGTAGGATTGGTGATCATGACATTTTTTAGTTCTTTTTGTAAGTCGAGGTTGTGTGCTTTTGATCATTTTTCGTGAAAAGATGTTTGCAGAAAACAAAGAAAAGGCTGTGGAGTATAAGTAGTTCTATTGTGGTGGGGGCGTCGAGTAGCGAAGCCACAAGAGTGAACGGCAAAGTGGCCACTGGGAATGGGATCTATAACCTTACTTTTCTTGACACGTGTCGCTCCCCTTCCCAGTTTCGCGGCTTTGCCGCCATTATGGATTTAATCGAGCGCCCGAAAAACTGCCAGCTACGTAGGCCAAAGACAGTGGACTTTAATTCCCTTTTCCTGAACTTGCCTTCTCTTTGGTGTTTATTTGCAGTGCGTTATGTTTTCTTTGCAATTGTCTGGGTATTAACGGCAGGAAAGCACCATTTCTGGCTTTTACCGAACCTTACGGAAGAATGCGGCTTCTTTGAGTCCTTTGTTCCACTCTACACGCACGAATATAAAGGCAACAAGCCTGTAGAAAAACAAACTGGAAACGAAACGGAAAAAGACAATGAAAACATAGAGGAGAGAGAAGACGAAGAAGATGCAAAACAGGACAAGAAAGACGAGAGCTCTGAAGAAAAAGAACAACTTGACAAGGAGCCATGGGTCACGTTAACAGAAGAAGAAGTAGCTACAGCAAAAAGCGAAGTGGACAAAGATCTTGAGGATTTAAATGACCCTTCAGTTTCTGAAGTGAAATGCTGAATATTACGATCAAATATTGGATTTTATTGTGTATACAGAAAAACCCATGACTTGAAATTACCATACTGCTGACGTTACCATTCAAATACTATGATTTATGTAATTACTACGAAAACGTAATTGGGTAATTAATAAACTAATTTGTTTGCGCGGTGCTGTTAATGAGAGAAAATCACTTTATTTACCTCTGCGAGGGAGAACTCATTTTGCGGGGCAACGTGGCGACTGGTAAGAAAGTGTAACATGTCAGAACAGTTGTTGCATTTGTTCATTTGCGTTTGAACAATTTGTTTTCATTCATTGTTTGAAAAAGTTATCAAATTTATTTCTGTGGATTACGTAGAATCAAATGCCTTGGTATACGAATGTAATTAAAATATTTAACTGCCTCTTGTATGGTTTATTTGTTTGTGTCATTCACAGGAATAGCACTGCGTTCGTAGTGTGCTAGCAGAGGCACCTTCTTCAGAACAATGGTGTTGTAGACAGTGGATACGATTCTGGTAAAATACTGGAGTAACCAAGGGGTAACTTGGAGGTGAACAGATCCATTCTGCCTTCGTGAGGTCTGTCGGGGTTAGGTGGGATAGGTTAAAAGGAAACTTTTCGCCTGAAGTACAGGCTTTTTAGAAGAATTGTATATTTTTTGTCGAATTTAATCCGGAAAATCTTTGGTTATGCTTCACGTTACCACGTGACTGGTCCAAGGAAACTAACACTACCCTCCCAACCAATCAGATTCAAAACCAGAACCACTTGTTTAATCACCAGTTCCCGTTTCCCGCGCAGTTTTTTTGCGTTCTCACTGTCGCCTGTGATATTTCCCATTTCTTTGTTGTCTGACTGTGTTCTTTGGGTTTGCTTTTACGTCAGTCAATCGAAATGCGCTCTTCGAAGGAGAGTGAGTTGGCTATACAAGTTCAAAACCACTCACTGAATCACCCTGACTAATTATGGTTAAGAGCGGAACTTTCCTCCTGCCTGTCGTCTAAACCCCGGCGTCCAATCCGGTCTCCCCTCTCCCCTCCTTTAGGCGTTAGTTCGTTCGTAAATGGGGCAATGGTAGCGGAGGAATGAAGGGAGGCTTGGGTCGATTCGTGTGATGACCCGACCTAAGCTTTTCTTGTTACTATTTCGCTCCGTTTTTTTTTTCTTTTGTTTTGTTTTTATTTTTATTATTATTTTTTTCATCAACTGAAAACCTGGACCAGGCTCTAAATGCCAAGGATCGATGGTAGACAAACTTTCCGAAGGTAGAATTGCGAACTCGCTCTCCTCTCAGAAAGCAACCTGTTTTCCCAAGTAATCGATGCTACGATGATGAAGTAAAGTTAAGAAGTTTAAGTGATGAGTTTTTGGAGAGTAAGGGAATGAGAGCAATATTACGATTTATTAGTCAGCTGAAATTATGAATGAGAGAGGAGAGAGTTACGGCGGGAGTTTCTACAGGAGCAATAAATGGAGACTGCGGTTATTCATGATTAGGTTGATGATCAATATTAAAATTTTCCCTATGCTTGCTCATCAAAAAATAATGTTGTTAAGTTGTAAATAGGTTTTAGAAAGTAATAACAAATTTAGATTCGTAAACCAACAAATTTTGCCCTCGCCGGAAAAAAGGAAATATTTTTTTTCTTAGAGCAAGATTGTGGTTGCGGTGAGTTTCTTCAGTACTACAATAAAACGTTTCCGAAATTACTACAGCCTTCTCTACGCAGGTCGGACCATCTTTTTTTTAACAATTATTGTTAGAGTCACTCCGATCCTCACAGAACCTTCACAGCAGAGACTTAAAGATCTGCTTTGCGTAAACAACTTAAAAAGGAAATTATGTGATTTCAGAGAGGGAAAAATTAGCAGCAATATTATTTGTGCTTGTGAATCGCGTGACTTGATTAAGTAAGTGGAATCGTGTGAAGTAACCGTCAAGGCTTAACACTTTAACTGTGCATTTTTGGTCTGCGGGCGAAAAATAGTTGTTGAAATTTCCCATCCTGAAAATTATTTTATTCAAAAGAGACTGAAACCTAAACTTCTGATAGTTTTTCGTTAACTTGTATCATTTTGAATATTCCAGCCCCCCTGACCATTACTCGGTATTCTTGGGATATTGGTTTATGAGAAAATCATCGACTGCTAAGTGACTTACTTTTCCACTGCAAAGCGCCAAGTAGCAATATTTTTCACTTGAAACTTTGACGCACTGAAGTCCTTAACAACGTCAATTGAGATATAAAGTAAACCTGGTCGGCAAAATCAAATCAGAACCAAACTCGGAGCGTGGGGAACTCATTGTTCACGGTTCGCATTTCTTTCTTCACATGGCTAGCCTCTCTATATGTTGCTCATGTGGCTCTAAACTTGTGTTGCTCTTCAAGGTACGACATCATCGTGTTTTTCCTTAAGATCCAAGCAATGTTTCTGCTGAAATTTTGTTTGACACTTAAGCACAATCTCGGCTCTTATAAACAGCTTGCATGAGCACAGGAAAATACTCTTAATTTGCCACTGCACTTCGTTTACACAAACGAATTTTTCGGTGGCTTGTCTCAAAATGGTGGAAACATGGCCATGGTACTACATGAAAAAAAAAAACCGTTTCAAAGATGTTCAAATTATGGCGGCTTTCTTTTGTTCCAAAAAACATTCTTTTTTATTCCTAATTTTTTCTCCTATTTCAACAGGTTGTTCCAGGATCATGCCGGTTCTGGCAAATAACTTGCATCAAGCCGCAAGTTTCAATGGCACATTGAACGTTGCAGTAGGTTCGAATACCAGCGATACTCCTCCAAATCTTGAATCTGGGACAAGACATCACAGACCGCTTAACTCTGAACCTGTGCCAGACTGGCAGGAAGCGAAAGCTGCCTTTAAATGGGGCTGGGAATTGCACTGGATCTCATTCGTCGTGTTGTTCCTGGGACTTGCCATATACTCCACAGTGAAGCTCGTCGCTGCTTCGAAAAGGCGGCAAGTTCGGGAAAAAGTATCCCGTAATGTCTCGTACGCTGTACACTCGTTGTTGATAGTTCTCGGGATCACTCGGGCTCTCGCGCTGGTACTTTTCCCGTACGAAATTACGACAAATTTGAATGAAGCAGATATTGTCATCCCTCTGTATGTTCATCGGATTATTTTTGGTCTAGGATTTCCTTGTTTCATGGCGGCGTTTGCCCTGATACAAATAACGTTCACAGCCAGCGTGAAAACAACACCGCTGACGTTCTCCAAGCTGAGAAGAATTCGATTTCTGGTTTTTGTCATCATAGGGCATTTCAGTGTTGTTATCGTAGCAGATGTGGTAACCGCTTTAGTGGAAAGTACCTCTGCTTTATACATGGTCTGCACTGCGTATCTCCTCTCGATGACTCTATTCACAGGTATCCGTATTTCAAAAACCGGATGGAAAGTCGTTCGCGAGAACAGAGAACACAACTTCACCATGCCAAGTACCATGACGGCATCGACCATGACTATCGGTACCGCACACCGCATGCGTCAGGCTTCGTTTAACAGAAGAGCAGTCAGAAAAGTATTTACCATTACTACACTTACGATATTTTTCTGCATTGCGTTATTTGCTTTGAAAATTTACGATTTAGTCGAAGTTATAGAATATGTGTATGTGCTTGATAAAAACAAGAAGCTGGCTCCTTGGCCCTGGTTTATTCACGAAACTTTATTCCGTTTGACGGAGTTTGCATTAGCTTGCACAGTTATTTATGCTGTTTCACCTCTTAAACCTCCCAAGGAGTGCATCCTTGGTTGCAATTGGTGTTGTTTTAAGTCAGGAACGAGTGAAATCACTACGAGTAGAGGTGAATACCGGGAAAGAGCGGGAACCAATCAGGTGACATGCTCCGGTCCTCCTCCTGAAACTACCAGTAATAACTATGTTTAACTTTCGGTTTGCAAAACGAACTCATCAATAGGCAATCAGTACGAGGAGTAGAAACGGTGGGACAAGAACAGATTTAAAGAGATTTAAGTATTTGTTACAAAGAATCTACAAAAACTACGAAAGAGGCCACTCGGCGTAATTTTGTTAGGAAAAACGGCTGTCGATAATCTGCTATGAACTGAATGTACTTTCACCTGACCTGGGCTGACACTCTCATCGGTAACAAGCGATATTTCGAATACATATTGTAATTGACGGCCATGTGGATTGAACCGGGAGGAATTATAAATTACAAAAATTGACACCTTAAAGCACCGAAAATTTTTAACTTCTCATTACTAGAAGAAGCCCTGAAAATGTTTCAGAGCCTCGTTGATCAGATTAGCCAGCCTCATGGCGCTTTCCGATCGTGCACACAAAATTGAAATTTGAAGTACTCGCAACAACCAATCAGAACAAAGATTTATCCAAAGAACAGATATCAAATGGAGCCAATGAGAAGCCGACGACCCGAAGCGCGGGAAAATGTGTGTGACGATGTCGCGGTGGGTTCTAGTTTTGCATCTGATTGGTTGATCGGCTTAGGCAAATTTCTTAAATCAATCAAGGAGCAATCCCATACTTCAACACACAAGTGACAAGAATTCTTAGGAGACCGAAGTCAGCTTCAATAAGCCAATGGTGGTCGTGATAAAGTAGTTTTACATTTTTTTACTAGATTTTTTGTCGCAAATGTAAATTATGAAAGAGAAGCGGTAATGTAATGGTTTAACACTGATCCCTAACCGAGCGTTCTAGATGGCCGATGGAATCATCAACTGTGCCACTTTTTTGGTTAACACACTCGCTCCCACCCTCACTCGCCTCATAGGTTTTTCCCACAAACGTGGGGTGAAAATTTCGGGTTGCGACGTATTTGAACGCAGCCCGCCCAAATCCTCACTCCTTTTTTCGCCCTCCACTTTTCTCACGACTAGATTTCTGACTGTCCGCGGAATGTAGCCCGAGGCTGATACAATCAGCGACAACTCAGACAATTTCATCTCTTTTTTCCCTAGCTAAGTTAACCTATTCGCCCCATTCTCCTCGAAAACAATGTTGTATCGTGATTCCATGAACTTTTGGCCAACATTGAATGGGGGAGGGAGGCTGTTAATGATTAATAGTGTGGTAGAAATAGGAATGTTATTCTTCACATAAACAGAATTCCTCCGACATGATGTGTCAACTAATTTTGATGCTGATTGTAGCTCGTTGGTCCAAAGCTTTAAGGAAGTCATTGAACTTAGTTCAACTTGAAAAAATACGTAATCCTTGCCAAAAGCCCCCAGGAAGGAAACAATTTACAGTGCACTTTCTATCATTTTATCGCCGTAATGTTGGCAGAACATGTACGAGAAAAGTTTGTAAATCACGAGTCAGAGGCGAGTGATCCAACACTTTTGATGTAAAATAAACTTATGAAATAAACTTCAAGTTTCTATTGGTTTACAGGTGCAAAACGCAAAAAGTGCTTTTGACTTATCATGCCCGCTTTCGCTCACAGACAGCTTGTAGAATCACCAGGTCTATCTTGAGTCACATTTGCGTCCAAAGGTTTCTAAATTTAATCTTAATTGTGTTAATTCAAAATACGCGATGAAATATTTGTTTAGTTCTCATAAGACTCTATAACATAGGGAGCAAAATTACTTATGCTGATTTACTGAGTCAAAGGGGAGTTTTCTTTAGTTTTAGTGTATTTCCTTTAAATTGACTAAACATTAACTTTGCCTTAAGGTATTACGATTTCATTGATGGTGACTGTCTTTTCGCAGGGATGGTTTCATCGCTTTGGTTTGTTGCACAAAAATAAAACTTCATTCAGCTGATTGGTGTGATTTACAGATCATTGACTCGAAGTGCGTCCTACGAAATTGCGCAATAGCGTGTGTTTTTCAGCTTCTCAACAAAAGAAAGTTAACTCTTAAAATGGTTGCAATTTGCGATGCCGGGGTAACGATGGACCAAAATTTAGGCAAGTTATTTCCGCACTTTCTTTCTGACCGAAACATTTTGAACAATCCTTGAGCGGCATTTTAAAATCGTTGATATCATACACCTATGAATCTGAAGTAAACAAATTCCCCGCATTTCCTGCCCCTGAGGCTGTCGCATAAGTTTCTTTGAGATGTGGTATTTTGGAACAATTTATCTCATTGTCGCTATTGTATGAAGCTAGTTTTAAGTTCAACAAATAATGAATTCTTTTGAATCTTAAAACTGCAAGACAGCATCGTGAATTCTGTTCAAGTAGGATTTTAGTTTTCTCATCGCATTTCTGATTTGAAGCAAACTTTTAATCAACAGACTTGAGTGCATGTATTAATTTTTTGAAATCCACGACAGTGGTTTGATTTTTTTCTAAACGATAATTTTAACGTTTTGAAATGGACTCCTGTTTGTTGGGAAAACGCCTTGAATGACAAACAGTAGATCTGAAGAATAGAATCACTCATGTGAGGCGAACGAGTTCTAAGTAGATGCCTTCTGCAAGTCCTTAATCGAATTTTATTGGAGCCGAAACAATAGACAAAGCGATAACTCACCAACAAAAAGAGCGCCAAAGATTGTTAACCTTATTAACAAGTCAAATTTATGACTGAGGTTTAGGGGCGATATAATTTATCGTTCGCTTTACGTGCGCTTGCCGTCTGTTTGTTAGCTGACGATTCTCGAACATAAACACTCTTCATCTGTGGGTTTGTTGTGAACCGATTCCGGTTGAAAACCTTTTCGGTGGAGAAGTTCACTTTTTCAAAGTTAAGTTATTCACCTTTAGAAGGCCTCAGAGAGAAATTCCTTAGGAGTAAGTGAGCTTTTCGCTTCAGTAACAGAAAGCTTCGTCATGTCTAAGAAAGAAGAGAAAGAAACGAAAAAATCTGTTTCTATTTTCTCGTTATGGCGGTGCTGCATAGGCGCAGAGACGAACAGACCAAAAGTACAGAAGAAATCTGTGGCTAAAGACCAGCCAGACGCCCCAACAGAAGAAGGGAAAGAAGCCTTGGAAGACAAGGGAAACGCTGTCAGCACTAATGACTTGGAACTTGAATATGTTCCAACTCAGCCGGAGTCGGCGCCCGTGGTGTCACCAAGCGATGATTATAGACCCAGCTATGAGGAAGCGAATACTGCATCGACAGCGCCGTCGACTGTGGGGAGCGAGGAAGATTCCTCCTTAAACGCCCCTGCGAGTATTCAAGTTATGCAAGAGAACGGCGCTCCATCGAAGATTAACAGGGAAATCGGGACGGGCGGACGGCTTAATCTGCAGTTTGTGTATGATCCCGCACCATCCAAACTGACCCTGACTCTACTGGGAGTTGAATTCCCTCCGTTCCAGAAGTGGAAGATGGATGATTTGGAGGTGAGTTGCACTCTATTGCCGATACATCAGCACAGTTTCCGTGCGCGTCCAAAGAAATTTAAGGATCCCTTTACCATGACTCTGACACCAAAAGAGAAAATCAAAACAATGTCCCTCAGATTTCGTTTGTATAACCACCGTGCCATGACCAAGCATTTGATCGGTCAAGGAGTTGTAAGCCTTGGAGAAATCAGCCTCAGTCTGCAGGCGGTTAAAATCGCCTTGGATCTGAATATTCCCGAGACCTACGCCATTGATTCCCGCTACATAGAGTCTGTCACGGGCGCCAGCGGGCAGACATCGCCAGAAGATTCCAAACCTGAAATTTTACTCTCTCTGGAGTACCGTTCTTTGACAAGAAAGCTGATTGCTGAAGTTATCAAAACCCGCCATCTTGGTCTCCTCAACAATTCCAAACCGCAAGACATCGCTGTTGAAATGAAGCTGATCGGAGATAACAACCAACTGTTACGCGTTTGTCGAACCTCGCTGAAGAAACACGTTATTGATGCAGAATTCAACGAGATGTTTATGTTTCGCGTGACATACGACAAACTGGCCAGCATCGCCGTGGTTTTCACGCTATTCCGTATGACGGAGAGGCGAGGAAAGAGAGAGAATATTGGAGAAGTTTGCTTTGGAAAACAGTCCAGTAGTCATGAGCAGCAAAACCATTGGAATCAAGTCGTGACGGGATCTGAGCGAGTTGTCACGCAATGGCACCCACTCTTTAAATAAGGTACAGTTTTGTTGCTTCGTTTTTCTCTTAAGCATTAAACCATATGATCTTGTTTAAAACGCAGTCAAATGCTCACTAGACATTTTTCGGATAGTGCTAATTACGTGAACATTCTTATTTTCAACAAATCAAAAAAACACTTGCCACTTACGAAACATACTTCAGTACATAAAGTTAACGAAAATTCAACAAATTGCCAGCAGTTAAAAGGATTAGATAAGGCCTAGAAAAGCTTTATTTCATAACACATTGCATTAATTCGTAACAGGAAGCTAGCAGAACAAGAGCTTGAGTAGAAGAAACTTTCAAACCTCAGAATTCGTTTTCATAGATTAGCCAAATTCAAATTCAGTGAATCTCTCCGTTAAAAATGGCACAAACGTCAAATTTCCAGTTTTTCCTAAAAACCTTTTGCAAGGCACAGCTTCTGCCAAGACTTCAATCAAGAAAATTAGCGAGAGGAGAAAAAATAATTTCCTCAAATTTACATGAATAGCATTTGCACTATTCATGTGTTGTAAGGGTTTTGTTGACAAGTGTCCTGAGGCAAATAAAGCTTTTGCCCAAGACCTCTGACCAATCAAAAATAAAGAAAGGAAACTTAGCAATAAGATCTAACTAATGCAGTAAGACAAGCCCAGAAAGAAATCGAGTGCTATGGTAAACACGCATGATTTCTGCCCTGTCATTATATTTGATTTTAAAAGGATCCGCAAACGTGGTTTGGTCATGATGACGTGTATTTCACAAGTGAGAGGGCCCAAGAGAGTCCTCTTCAAATCACACGCCACCAATGAATAGCAACATAAATTAATGAATAACAACATAAAGTAATGAATAACAAAGGGTAACATAGCCAAGCTCGTAACTGTAAGATGATGAAGAAGCAAAAGAGCATTATCGAATTTATGATTTGGTTTGAGTACGTACTAAAACGGTGGTTAGGCGCGCTCTGATTGGCTACTCAAACTCCAAATATCCTTTGCTATTAATTTATCTCCGAGCCACGCGTGCGGGATTCAGTGCGCCCGAAAATTTTGTAATCGTTGCGGGAATAAATGAGTCAAAATCATCTTTTTGTAACATATTATCTCACTGTTTTAGTACACACTTAAACAACTATTCACCGAAGTGAAGCGAAGCGGCGAAGTAAAGATCCACAACTAGTCAATTCATCTTCGACGAATAGTTATCAATTATCATTTGGGTTGATGACGTAAATTGGCCACCGGTTCGAGCGTTAGCCCTTTGTCATTTGCTCTGACAAAAGGTTAACGCGCGAAACGTCATTATCAACTCATTTGATAAAACCACTGATTATCTGGTAGTACTCTCAGCGACGGAGCACAAAAATTTCTTTCAAATTTATTACTTTCAATCATTTAGTGGATGATGTCTTGGATGAGGTCAAATATAAAGCCTCTTAAAACCAAGAAACAGTGTAAACCGTCGTTCTCTTTCGTTCTTATTAAGAGAGGAATGATATTGATAATAGATAATTTTTGTAGATACTGTTCCCATTGATGATACTAAAATAGATAATTTCAAAGGTATTCGTGGATGCTTTCTAAGCCCTTTAAGGCTCAGTTATTATATCATGCAATAAAGGTTGACCAGATTTCATTGCCATAGAATAAATTTTAAGCTGATGTTTTTCAATTGTCTCTTTCCTTCTCAGAATTGCAAAGAATGCTTTGAATGCACTCATTTAAAGGGAGGAACAAGAACTGTGGAGAGTTTGCAGTATGGTTGAAATCTAACTATAATGGTTATTTTTAATGTCTAAAATCATACATATCTTATGGATAAGTCGGTTAGGCATTGATAAAAATTTTTTCCATGTGCATATAATATCCATCATCATATTTTTAATTTTTACAACTTAAATAAACTGCGCATGTATTTATACGTGAATTAGCTGCAACGACAAAATATGCGGGGCATGATCATATTCAACCTTTTCCTCTTCAAACTTAATTTGTAGACTGGGTAAAAAAAAGCATCAATGTCTTTCAGTAGTTCGCATTTTCGCGTCAAAACGCAGACATTTTGTAATCAATTTGTTCGTCTCCAAATTTTTGCGAAAAGTTTTAGTGAAACCACGGCATCCGTGTTTAATAAGATTCTTACAGTGTTTTTTGCTATTTGATGAAATATAGTAGCTACTGAATTAAAGGGTAGTTGAGTCTGTACTCTAAATGCAACGTTTCAAGGCTATACTTTTGGGTGACAATTTTTAATCACGTGCACGATGCGATACCACTTCGTCTTTTATGGAAAAATATTCCGTAAGATGTTTGCACTCTGATTGGCTGTGAAGACACATTTGTATTTCTAGAATGCACGATAGACTGTTCAATGAATAGTTTCTGTCAGCTGACAGTTGATGTGGGACAAAGCCTCGATAAAACATTGACAGCACGGAATGCATCATGGCACGAACCCTTGGTTGTATATCGATCGATATAACAGACTTACCAACTGGTATTTTCAAATATTTTTCATTTTCCGATCAGTCGATTTTGCACGATAGGTATGGTTTTACTAATGAATGGCAAAGCAAATTATCTTCGGCAAAGAATGCTGAGTGGCAACAGAAAAAGAAAGTTTCGGTTGCCGATGAGAACCAGTGTGATTTTTAGTGAAACGATCAATCCGTCTTTTCTTATGGATGAAATCGGATAAAAAAAAGTACACGAAAGCATATTTTTACTCGTGTATCTACGAAAAATGATCAGTTTATATACAGGGAAAAAATTGAAAATTGTTCCTTTTTCAGCCAAGTATTGGTCAGCGCCTGTGAAACTCACTAACAGCATCACGCTGTCACATTAAAGCATATCTTTCTTTCCCAAAAATTTGAGATCAATTTTATTCGTCTAAAGATCGGACTAGTTTACGATCACGAGAAAGTACAATATGTTTGCACTTGTTATTAATTCAAATTGTTTCTCATTCGACAGTTTCTCTGTACATAATTTTGTAACTAGATAGACTGGTGAGACCAAGTCTGAGCTGTAATATGACATTTTAGCTTTTTTAGGCTTTTACATGGAATACGAGGCACCATTTAAAGGAGTACTTCAATAAAAAACCGTTTGCATCTTTTTCATAACGTGTGTATAAAAAATTTCAGGATTTATTAATGAGCGGACGTAGTTGTTAGATTCATAATTGTTCTGCTGATTTTTTTTAAAAGATTTAAGCTTCGTATGTATTGGAAAGAGTTATTGAAATGCTGTGAGATCAATGACTGAGCTCACAGCAGCCTAAAATCTGCGCATATACGAACGTTGTAAAGTTGGTGTCTGGTGGCGTGCTTTCAAGCGGTCTTACAAGAGTCGTTATCAACCACGCAAGCTAGTGGCGGAGGGTGACGGAGGGTTTTTGCGTGACACGTGATGGCGCCAAAATTTGCAGCGTGACGCGTAATTGAACCCCAATAATTCGTCTGACGGGGGACCGGACATCACAACATGATGCGTGATTTGCAATTTTACAAGCGGGTGACGCATGATTTACACGTCTTACCAATTAGATTTCCGTGATAAGTGAACGCTCTTTGACCAAAAAGGTATTTTAAATGTCAGCCGTCTCTTCCCCCTAACCCATGGGGGATATTGTGATACGAAGCCCGAATAAACGCTCTCAGAGTGTCTACTTTCAACAACTAAGTAGTCTCTATTTGTCTGACAAAAAGCAGTCTGGCAAGTGAAACGCAATTCATTCCAGAAGAAAAGACGTTGTATGCAACATAAATTCTAAGTAATACATCCGATAGATTGAAATCTTACAGTATAAGCTCAGCCTACCTAGAGACTACTACTCCTTTTTACATGACACGTGACTGGGTAAAAATTCTCCGCGATGCGTGATTTAATAGAAAAATTCAGCGTGATGTGTGACTTGAACACCCCCCCTCCTTTGCTATCCTCTAGTAGGTCACGGTATTTTTAGAACCTTACGACTTTTTATACTCAATGCTCACAAGAAAGTGGTAAATCGATAGTATACCCTTGATTTGATAGGCTTTGCGTTCGCAGTGTCAAGGTTTACTTTTCCCTCCTTTTGTTTTCTTTTACTGATTTATTTCAAAGGTTAAATTGTTTTGCGTATTTTGCTTGACGCCTTTTCTTAGGGGCCGACCATTTAACTTTTGAGGGGCGTTGGGTGATTTCTGGTCACCAAAAAAATTGTTTCTAGCAATCTGCTGTGCAGATTATTTTTTTCCGATTTTTTGGTACATTTTTTCTGTTACATTTGGGCTGCATGCAATTTTTTTCTTCCAACAAGCGCTTGCAGCAGATTTTTTTCAAAATCACCCACCCTCCCCCCCTCAAAAGTTAAATGGTCAGCACCTTACCTGGATGTCATATTCTGAACTTGGCAAGAATTGTGCGCGGGAAATTGACGCACGGGCGACCAAAAATGAACTTCTTGCACACGCGCAATGTTTCACCACTGTGTTTATGTCATGTGGTGTCCATCAGTGCATCCTCGGTTAACTTCTCCGTCTGGAAAACCCTACGTTACTGAAGGTAACGACACTCGACAATATTCAAGCTTTTTGTGCATAGATCTGTCTGATCTTTACCACTGTGGTCATTCTCCGTGCGTTCTGTGTTACCTTGGAAAAACCCAAAGTCAATATGTTTGAACGTGAACCATCAGCACAAACTTTCCGGAAGGGTTGTTTATTCGGTTGGTCAGACACTTAAGGCGGCGAAATACGAGATACAAAAACCCTCAACTTGGCGCGTAATATTGTTTCGTTGCAAGTTTTGGTCGATGTTTCTCGTTTTTCACCTTGCGTGATCAACTTGTTTCGTAACAAACACATTTGTTGCAGGTTGAAGAAATTTGTTGCGAAAAGTAGAGCACGGGTCAACTTTGAGCAACAAGTTTCTTCAACCTGCAACAAATGTTTTTGTTGCGAGACAAGTTGATCACGCAAGGTGAAAAACGAGAAACATCGACCAACACTTGCGACGAAACAATGTTGCGCGCCAAGTTGAGGGTTTTCGTATCTCGTTTTTCGCCTCCTTTAAGTGCTAAATTCAGATGTTCGGCTGTGTTCATCGATTACCCTGACCATTCAAAGGGGCACACCAAGCTTCCGAGGTTTGTCATAACCTGTGACAATGTTATTTGGTGCACACTTCTAAGCTTACTTCTCCATTCCTCATTGTTTCTGGTCTTAAAATTACATGCTTTGAAATGATTTTTAGCTAGTTGCTTTGCATCATTGTATTTTTTCTGTTTGTTCATTAGTCTCGGGCCAGTCGAAATTTATTTTACAATAAGATTCCACACAGCCCTTCATAATGCATACAGTTCTTGAATGAAGAAAACGATGGCAAAAACAATCGATTGCCTTTTGGACTACGGCTTAGTTTTACAGTAGTATCGGGCTATGTGCAAATCTTTACCCTTTGGTTCATTCGGAGAGAAGCGAGTTTAAAACAACCGGAACGACTTATGGTTCTCATTCCTTTCCTATATTTTATCTGCGATTTCAACTTAATTAGTAAATTTTTCGCGTTGACATCCTTGTCGTTGGCATAATTTGATTCCTGTTCGTTCAGTTTGTCTTCAGGGGAGTAAGAATTCCCTTGCAAAATTGCCTTTTGCAATTTACATTCAGAGCTAGTGAGATCGAAAATGCTCAGCTTTGGAAGTTAATTTTGTGAACTAACATCACATACACAGAATTAAAACATTATCATCGTGTACCAGAAGTTCACTTAAGAGCATGGTTGATGCAGTAGTTCCTCCTCTCCATTCAACCTAACCCTTGAACTCTCATGAGTGACCAACACAGAATTTCTTCTTACAATATCAACACAATAGCAAGCAGACAAGTGTTGAGAATAAAGAAAAATATCAATGAGAGGATTACTAGTTGATCCAATATCAAATTCTTTGACCGAACATCACGCAAGTTGTGTCACAGACAATAAAGAGAATCACTAATGAGGTCTTGGGAATTAGAAAGGTTGATAACCAAGCTCTCCCCTAAATGCATTTATACTGGTTTGGGTGGTACCTCATGTAATTAAACCTGTTCTTTTAATGTGTTCTGTGGTAAGCTTAGTTATTAGCCGATGGTCCCTCAGCTTCTTGACAACTTGTTACTGTCTACGTCTGTTTGCAAATAAATTAATGGAAACTTAAGTAAGCTAACATATAGTTACATATGTTCTTACAATTTCTAGAGTTTTAAGGCCTTGTTCTCACTACCAGTTTAGCCTAATTTTTCTTTTAGTGTTGGTATTGCCACAACATAATTGCAATGGTGTGGGGAGCTTCTAGTGTTTGCGTGTACACACCTCATTCTGAGGTAACATAGTAACAAAAGATACTAAAATGATTCTACCCAGATTGTTGTGGTCAAGATGTAGAAAGTCTCTTTCTAAAATAACAATTTTCCTCTTCCTCTCCCCTTTTAATCTCTTTTTGTATTCGTGCATGGCTCTTGTGACCCCACAAATTAGCCAATTACCTCAAAGAACGTTAACCTCGACATTTCTAACCAACACGGACATTTTTCTTGCATATATTTTTGTTGTTTCTTTTATGTGGTTGTACTTTAAATTTTTTTTCTCTTTGTTTGGAATTTTATGAAGGTCTGCAGTTTTTATTGTAGCCAAATGTTGTGGTTTATTTAATACATATTTTCAATTAATACATATTTTCTATGGAGTTTGGACTCAGGCCTCTTAATTCTTGATAGATTTTTTACACAACCCTTCAACTCCCATAAGTGACCAAAAGAGAATTTCTCCTTGCAACATCAATACAATATCAAGCAGACAAGTGATGAGATTAAAGACAAATATTAGTGAGGGATTATTAGTTGATCTAATACCAAATTGCTCAAGCAACATCATGAATTGTAAGGCAGACAGTAAGAAGAATTATTACTGCGATCTTGGGAGCGAAAGGGTCAAGAGGCTTATTCAGGTGAGTGTGTTACCATGGGAGCTATTCAAACAAGGAAAACAAAATTTTGTCCACAAATTTGACTAGATTTGCAAAATTAAATATATATTTATTTGTAAAATTTCTCTTTAGAATTAATGATACCAATGAAAAAATATAAACATTTTTTTTCTAATTTAGCAATAAATTCAATACTAATTTTATTTTGGATTTTAATAATTACATTTGGAAAACCACTAACACAGCTAAAAATTTTTTAGATAAAAAATTCACGCGGAGGAAACTGCTTCAATAAAAATAAAAGTTTGCAATCTGGAGAAAATCTTATGATGCTTTTTGTAAAACAAAAACAAACAAAACAAATAAACGAGTCTAGGAAATTATAACGTGTACAGGGATCAACTGCAAGTCCTAAGTTTTCGACCCTCCTTAAATCGGATTTTTGAACCATACGTTACGATTTAAATGATGCTCTTAATCCCACGTCACTGAAACCGCTGCCACAAATTGCGTGGCTCAGGCTGAAATGGGAAAGCATTATTCCTTAAACATTTACCTGGCTGGAAACTTTGGACATTTGCATGTTTTTTTGTCATGTTGGTTTGTGAACGCAGCCCTGGTGGGTTAATTAATTTTGGAATTATTTACTTCATTGCCAGATGGTTGCGTTCAGGGTATTGCATTTGAAATGAACGCCACTCGGTCTATGTTAGTAAAAAAGCCCAAACAATCGCCTGTGTTGAGGAAATATAGTCTATGTCACAACGCGATGAAAGGCGAATGGTCTTAATCTCTAAAGTAGAAAACTTATGGGTTTGGAAAAAAAACCGCAACACCAAAAAATTAGGAATGGCAATTCTCATTTCAAGTTGTGACTTTTTAAGCTTTTATTTGCTAACTGTGATTATAAAAGGCTCAAGGATCGCCCGCAAAAAAATAAGCCAGGCTGTTTAGAATGGTACGCGTTAAAACCATTTTATGGCAAGTTGGATTGCGCAATTTATAACTGTTTCAATTTTGCCGTGATGTGGCTTATGAATGATGGCCCGGCAAGGCACAGAATAAAACATCTATTTCTGACAAAAGGAAATCTTGTGTCATAAAAAATACGACGTGAAGAGTTTATGGGCAAAATATTTTATGTAAATATACACATTTGGAAGCAGGTGTATTTAAAAACAGTATATAATTAATTGATTTTCTCGAAGCTTGTTGGCCAGTATTTTGGGTCTTCGTAATTTGTTGCCAGCGATAAGAACTTTGATGCCTCGAATTCACACAGAGCTAGCTAAGAATTTACCAAACAGAGATTCCCAAACGATCCAGGCACGATTTCAAGGTATTATTTGGTCATTTTAGGTCAGAGCTGCATAATTTTGACTCCATCTAGATTTTGCATTTAAATAATTTAATTACGTCCACGAGAGATCGTACGCCAAGAAAATGAAAATTCTATGTGGGCACTGTAACAATTCCTAGAGCCCAAGAGTAATTTTCGGCGTCTCGTGTAGCAAGTGACCGATAATGAAAAACGGATTGGCTGACGGCATCAGTTGAAGGATTTGGTCAAGGAGATCTATCGAAGCAAACGGTGAGTGCAATCAAAGTATTTTAGGGAGGATAAAGAGGACTTCTGATCTATACTTCCAAAACACATTTTGTGTTCGTAGCGAGTTTGCTAGCATTGCTAGTATTTTCCCTTTCGACGAATTGCAATTGCGTTAATTTCTTTCGAGTCCCTATTCGACCAATCGAATCTTGTTTATGTTCCCGAAGAGTGAAAAGAGCGTGTGCTAATTGATATTCTCTCTAATATTTTCAGAAGTTTGAGAAAAAGTCTTCATTTTCAATATTCTCGACACCAGATGGACGTCTAATGCATTACGGATAACCGCTTGTCTGTTAGCGTTTCTTTCTCGCGTAGCGGATGGATTTCACGGCAAAAATCGGTGGTTTTTTCCGCAGCATTATTAACCCAGAGGGTGAAACTCAAAACACAGACAAATCAGCACAGGAAAATAGGTAAGAAATCTTAAGTAAGGTGTAAGATTTTTTTTCAACCATGAACCTGTTTTCATATTCAATTGCGTTCTTTATGTCGGTTGTCGAATATGATAGGGTGGGGTTAGGAATTCCGCCGCAAACAATTTTCTGCGCTCGGTTTGATTAAGCAAAGTAGATGCACGCAGAAAATCAAGAATTAGATGGCTAGAAAATCCAAAATAAATTATTGAAACGTGACTAAAAGTCGAGTGTTTGGCATGTTTTGGTTGTGAGAGCGCGCGAGAGCGCCGAATTATTTTAAAACACAAGGACAGCTGTTGACAATAATTGTAAAGTCAAATTCATTGCTTAAGAATATTTTGGCCTTTTAGTCAATAGGAAGCCACCAGGTTTGATAAAGTTGACAATGGAAAGAAGTTAATACGTTTGAATAGAGCATTTTCAAGTAAAGAAAGAAGAAACACCAATTCGATTTAGCAGAAAGGGAAAATTCAACTGAAATTCACGCTGACAAAGGAGAGGTTTATCGAAATAGCATCAAACGAACGAATGCAGAACACGGAAAACATACATAATTTACCGAGCAAATGTTTTAATTTCGTACATACATGAAAGCATCTTAAATGAGTCGGGAACCAATCAGGGAAGTGAAACGGTGCCAGCAAATAAACAGAACTGAAGCATTAAGAGTTAGTAGACAAAGATGAAGCAACGATTCTATTTGTTCCAAGCCATCTTCCTGGGGTCTGTTTTGCTAATACGCCGTAATTGAGGCCACGGATATGAATGTAGTTCGTGTTAAATTTTTCATATGTCCTTTGCCATTGTTTCGCTGTTGTCTGCATTTCAGGCAAGCATCCAGCGACACAAAACAGAGGGATGAAGAGGGTGACCTCGATGAGCGTGATGCGGAGTACCTAGACGATGACGACGAGGAAAACACGACAGCGTTTCTCACGCGAAATAGTTCCCTACCGCTACCTAGTAAGTCCAAACAAGACTCAGCGTCTCATGCCTTGGCATTACAAGTGCCTAACACGGCAATTAAACGCAGGAATACCCTCGCTGGTACCCCAAGTTTTGGCCTAAGTGGTCTAACAAATGGCAGATCGGCACCCAGCGTGGTCGCGCGCACGAAGCAAAGCTTAGAAACTAGTAGTATTGTATCAGACGACGAGACGGTCCGTGGAATCGCAGCACGAAGAGAGTTCGGGGGACTTCCGACAAGAAGTCGGAGCGAAACTCCGCGAGCATTTGGTGGCGGTACGCCTTCGAAGAGAATATCAACTTCAAGTTCTGTGTCTGACTGGAATATGGATCAAACTGTACGCGGAGTTGGTCGGCTTCACGTCGTACTTGACTTCACAATGCATACGGCTAAGCTGTCTGTAACTGTTACAAAAATAGAATTTCCACCGTATCATCAAAGGGATACTTCTTTGTTAGAAGTGAGCGTCATGCTGTTGCCGGGAAAACGGCAAAGTTTTCGAACAAAAGCGAGAGACTTTAATGAACCCATGGCGATGTATTTGTATCCCAAAGACAAAATCAAGGATATGTCGCTGAGATTTCGCTTGTACGAACAAGGCACTATGGGCTCCAAGCATTTATTAGGCGAAGGAACGCTACGGCTTAGGTCGGTGGACTTAGACTCTGAGATGATTCCTGCAACTGTTGATTTACAGCCTCCCGGATCGTATGTTCCGGAAGCTGCTTCGGGGGCGATCATGTATGAAGGAGAACTGGCCATCTCCGAAGAAGATCGACCCGAGATCTTACTGTCTTTAGAGTATCGCCCAATTACGGGAAAGCTTCTTTTGGAAGTTATTAAGACAAGAAATTTAGGAATGTTAACTGATTCAAAAGCACGAGAAACATATGTCGCGGTGAGGGTTGTTAAAAGCACTGGAGAGTTAATTAGCAAGAGTAAAACCACTCCAAGACGGCATATGATAGACCCCGAATATAATGAAATGTTTTTGTTCCATGTTCCGGAGCATGAGCTTAACTCGGTGACAGTTTTGCTGACTGTTACAAGTATTACGGCGCGCACGCTGGCGCTGAAAAAACATCGATTTGGTCGTGTGTGTCTTGGGCAGAATTACAGCAGCGAAGAGGAATTGCGGCATTGGTATGAAATGACTCGACGGAAAGAAAAATCCATCGTGGCATGGCATAGAATAAATGAAATTTAGGAACTCTATTTAATGCACCGAACAAGAAGTATGGCAAAAACTTTTTAATTAATACGTTTTACAAGAACAGGTCTGCGTTTCCAAAACGTTTCAATTAGTGCAGCCGTTGGTTCGCACATTATTGTATTAGGTACGTTGTTTATCTATTTTCCAAGTGTTGTTGATCCGATTCACCGACAGGCGAATAGGTTAGTCAAATGTTATTACTTATGACCGAATAATCATGGAAAAAAAATTCACGGGAAGAAACAATTTTATAAAATTATTTTTAACCCCAATAGGGTCTGTTCCCGAAACAAGGTGTTAATAAGTTTGAACAGACTTGTTTTTGAAAGTTTGTGTATCTTCTTGAGCTGACAAATAAAGCGAAACCACGCATAAATTGACTTTGTCATATACATAAATAATGACTATGGCTCTGAAATGATTTTTGCTGGATATATGGACACTTTTTTGGTTTTAAGCATGCTATCCACGTTTGAACCGCACCCGGAGAGACGCTTAATCACGCCCTAAATTAGAAATGGAACTATTTTCATTTCTTTGGCAAACTCAAATATTTCAGAATTTTTACGTGTAATTGTAAACATCAAACTGATGCAACATTTTAACGAAAATAGAAACTTGAAATTTTTACATTGCAGGAAACAAAACTTTTGTAGTATTTTTCTGAATGTAGTTTTGAATTCAAATGCTAAAATTGTAAAATTTTGAATGCCTTTCTAAATTAGTTACAACCAATTATTTGGGTTACTTCCAGAGAAACATTTCCACAAAAATGTAACTCATTAAAATTTGTTCATTTTGCCCTCCCATTTGAGTGAATTCTTTTCCTTATTTTGTGGTATCTTTGCTGATTTAAATCTTCCAGAAAATAGTACTGCAAAAATTAGCTGATAGTTGTTAGTTGTATGTCTTTGATAGTCAATGTTGTCAACGAAGTAATTCTCCTCGTAGTTAATTATTAACTGCAGGCTCATTACTCCGTCGATGTAACACATGCTCTAGTTAAGTCATTGGACCAAGAAGCTGGTTTGTCGTTTTGAAGTTCACATCTGTAAGAGGCGAATGATTAAGGAATGACAAGGAACCTCATTTGTATACAAAATGAATGAGGTGATAAGCGCATGCGTGTTTCAAAATGGTTTTTAAGTGTGAAAAAACACATCAGATTTGAACAGTTTGCAGGCCGGAGTTTCGATTACTTTTAAAATAAGAAAGTAATTGGTGAAACCTCTATTTCCAATTTTGTTTTTGTTTTTCTTTTATGTAATCACTCTCTCATGGTGTGTTTTATTTTTTTGTCTTAAAATGCGAGTTAGGAACGTGTCAGTAGATCTTTATACTTAGTTGAGGGTGAAGAAATACAAACTTTCTATCAAAGGTAATTTGAATTCATCACACGTGTCAGTATTTATCCACCATCCTAACTACATATAGTCTACTAAGCGAATCCTTGGAATATGACAAGAATCATATATTGAAACGGGAGAATTAACATTTTGGTTGGTGAAAAATTTCTTGAGCGTTCTTTACAGTTTGTACGATCTCTTCGATAGCTCAAGTGAAGAGCTTGATAAATATGGAAAGCTGACTAAGTAATTAGGAATATACACAGGCAGAACCTACGCCTAAAGCTTTGTGTTACGTTATGGTACATTAGCCACATACAACAGGCAATCGTAGTGTTTCTGGGTCATTAGAGGGGAGACAGCTTGAGCAAACTCGCTGAGCGAAGGCTACCTGGAGACCTGGGTCACAAAGACTTCTTTAATGTTCCTCTGTCTTGCTGCTACAACTTGTACCGTATTCCTTCTTAAACTAACTCCAACCCCTATTACCACTAAGAACTACGCAGTTATGCTCTCATTTGGAAATGTGTTCTCAATCTTGGAAGTTGACACCACAACTGTGCTCCATGTGAGTTAGCTTATATAGTGGCACAAAAAACCATGTAATAAACTTTCTTGAGCGCTCAATATTTGAGCACATTAAATTATGGATATCCTTCGTAGTTAGAAAACACTCAGATGTGAACCTTACGACAATTTAAAGGTCCAGAATTTTTATGTAAATGGAATGTTTGAAATAGGTGATAACTACAGAAAGATCGAATTCGAGAATATATCATCAGAAAACTAAAACATCTCCCTCTCAAAGTATACTTCAGAACAATTTCAATTCAAACTACACTGCGCAATAACAGCACATTACGAAAAAGAACTTTGTTTATTGACTTTAGTGCACTTTCCGGACAATACTAAATTACATAATCATAGCAAACAAGGCTGCTTGAATGTTCACTTTCAATAGCTACTCGTCCAATTTGTCTCACTGGTAAGAATGTTCACTTGAGCCGGTAACTACTCGTCGAGTAGCTACACCTATGAGGTAATTTAGACATGGCACCGTTCTTAGATCCATTTTATGATTTTAATCAATGTAATTTAAAGCGATGAATCAAAGTACTGTGAGTTAGGACAAAAAGCATTTACGATCTGAACTTTTAAGTACCTTGAATAAAAACAAGCTATAGCTAGGTGCATTTTTTTCTCATTCAACAAGTCATCATTCTGTGGCGTTTTGGATTTATTCTTTTCATGGATCAATCACATCTAGTATAATCTCTTTCTTGCACCAAAATTATTTCAAACACATTGGTTAAAGTTGTGCTAATTTTCCCCGTCATGATTCAGTTATTCTGTACAGCCAAGAACGCATTAATTTTTCAGTTACGGAATCTTAGCCAGCCTTATTTGGCTTTAAATTTCTGAATAACACCAATCATTCCAAGAGGCACCTTTTGCGTCCCGGTTTCCTTAATTCTTTGAGATAAATCAAAGGGGTTAACCAAAATTGGAAAATTAATGTTAAGATAGAAAAAAAACTTCTTTCAATCACCTCGTGTTTATTTGTCGGCAATTGAAAATCTTTACGTCTGATATAATCGTTATATCTGAGAACCTTGGCGCCTTGGTCACCTAAATCTAATCATTTAACTTCTTTCCGGTGATTTCTTTCTTCTTTATGTTAATTTTTGGACTGCTGTTTCTTTGACAGCAAAGATTCAAGATACTGGGAGTGTCTTCAATGGGAAGGAAATCCGAGCAATAATTCATTTACACACAAGGGAATCGCAGGATCTTGATTTATCTCTTATTTGCAGCTGCCACTTTTGAACCAAATATTGTAGTAATTTAGACATAACAATTATCCAAATCGACATTTAGACTCCCCTTAAAAACACCAATTCATCAAAAAAAAAATTTTAATTAWAA